GAATGATTGATGAATCAAAAAATTTCAATTGAACTTATTCTTTCAATTGGTATTTTTGCTTATCCCCGTCTCTTTTAAAAATTGAAACTTAGGTAAGTGCTTTATAAACATATGTATAAAAAGAACATATTTCATTTAGCTCCTTCATGCCTACTCTAACTAGTTATTTCGGTTTTTTACTAGCGGCTTTAACTATAACCTCAGCTCTATTTATTGGTCTGAGTAAGATACGACTTATTTGAAAATTAATTGAATGAACGAACAATTAATAAAAACAAAGTTTTCTGTCCTATTCCATATATTCTATAGTTCCTTACCGTGTTAATTATCAATTATTAGTTATTGATATTCATGGGCAATAGAGATTAATATTTAGGGATAGATATTACCTTTCTTTTTCTCCTTTCAAATAAATTGAAATGATTGAAGTTTTTCTATTTGGAATCGTCTTAGGTCTAATTCCTATTACTTTGGCTGGATTATTCGTAACCGCATATTTACAATACATACGTGGTGATCAGTTGGACCTTTGATTAATTAACATCTCTTTTTTTGACTGACCCCTTTAATTTTAATTTAATTAATTTAATTCAAGGAGGTCAAATTCGAATTGCTGTTCAATTTTTTTTTTTTTTTTTTTTTTTTCAGTTCGGTGTAATTTTCGACTTAACAAGAGCGGAATCACGCTCTGTAGGATTTGAACCTACGACATTGGGTTTTGGAGACCCACGTTCTACCGAACTGAACTAAGAGCGCTTTCTTATCATAATAAATAAGACTGTAAAAAAGAGGATTCTTTTATTTTATAACCCCAATACATCGTGCACACCTATACTATCATATATCATATATAATATGAGAAAATGATAGATTATGTATGCTTAATTTTAATCAATCTAAAACTAAAATGGCTCCCTCCTTACTGCTCAAAGGAGAAGTAATAGGTAGGGATGACAGGATTTGAACCCGTGACATTTTGTACCCAAAACAAACGCGCTACCAAGCTGCGCTACATCCCTTTCAATTGGCCTACGATGTTATTGTAGAGAATCCCTGTCTTGTTTTCCACACCCTTATTTCATCTATTGATATACAAAAATTATCTTTCCATTTCCTCTTTTTGGTCTCATATCATATAACAACCATATAATGAATAATAAATGAATCTTTTTGGCGGGAATTCTCAGGCAGAAAGGGACCTATTTTGCTGTTTTAAGAAAAGGAAAATCTTATCTATCGAATCATTGTACATTTAAATTTTAATTTTGAATTAGGAATTCCGGGTACAAATATACAAATACAAGTGGTCTTTAACCACACATACATGTGATTATATATGTATTACCATAATGTATGTAATACGATAAAGAAGGAGGATTTTAAATGCGAGATCTAAAAACATATCTTTCCGTAGCACCGGTACTAAGTACTCTCTGGTTCGGTTCTTTAGCGGGTTTATTGATAGAGATCAATCGTTTCTTCCCGGATGCGTTAACATTCCCTTTTTTTTAATTCTAGTTATTGTCGCGGGACGGGGTGAAAAAGATTAGATCGATATACAATCAAATATCTGTGACTAATCTCTCGCCCCCCCTTGACTTTAGTTGTTTTTAGAATTATAATTATATAAGAAATGAATTCTAATTATATAAGAAATAATTCTATTTAGTTTTTTTAGAATTCTAATTATATAAGAATTATATAAAATAAATAAGGAAGGTAGAACGAAAAAAGTGGATTGAACCTCAACAAAACTTGGGTTCAAGCTCCAATTAAATTACTAGTAGAGCGAAAAGAGAAATGTGGCTGGAACAACAGTATCCTACAAGATACTTAAAGAAAATACCGTACTGTGATTCTAAATCGAGTTAGAAATCATTGTATTACTTATTTACTATTAGTATAATACATATTGATTTACTATATTGATTGCAATTGATTGCAACGAAATCTTTCAGGATTTGGTTTTGAGTTAGCAACTTTTATTTATTTATTTTCATTCCTTTCTTCTTCACTTTTGATCGGAAAATAGAAGAGTTGGGTGAATTAAAAACTCAAAGGGGGTTCATGGCCAAGAGTAAAGATGTCCGAGTAACGATTATTTTGGAATGTACCAGTTGTGTTCGAAACGTCGTTAATAAGGAATCAACGGGCATTTCCAGGTATATTACTCAAAAAAATCGACACAATACGCCTAGTCGATTGGAATTGAAGAAATTCTGTTCCTATTGTTACAAACATACAATTCACGGGGAGATAAAGAAATAAATCGAATCAAGTACTCGTATGTCAACCCTTCCCGAGAATATGAGAAAATAGGACATTAGGTATTTAGGTAACATTAGGTATTTAGTATGAGAAAATAGGACATTAGGTATTCAGGTATAATAATATATATTATATAATATATTAAGTAATATTAAGTATATAATTAGTTAGATATAATATATAACTAATATATAACAAATATTTTATTTATATATTAGTCTATATTTGTATTTCCTTGTCTATTCCACGCTTTCTTTTTAAAGTGAAGTTTTTAGTTTTAAATTATTCTATATGCACGTTAATAAATTTTTAACCTTTTTAACCTGGTATATGATTGTATCAATATTCTTTTATTTTTTTTATTCTATTTTTTATTTAGTTCTTATTTTTTTAATAATTTTTTCTTTATTCTCGAGTCAATTATTTATTTTTTTAGTTTACCGTCTTCGAATGATTTTTAGTTTACAGTCTTCGAATGATTAGGAGTTGGATTTTCATTGATTAGGAATTAGATTTTTAATATCACTAACTATTTTTTTTTTTATTTTCTATTCGTGCATAATGATTATTTTAATATTGTTAATTTTAATATTGTTGTTAATTTTAATATTGTTAATATTGTATTATTTATTATATTGTATGATTTATTCATTACTATATTTTTTAGTTATTACTATATTTTGTATTTATTACTATATTTCATTATTTATTTCTTATTTTATTAATTATTTATTATTTTCGTGTCGGTTCTATATATATTTATAAATTATATTTATTTATTATTTATGTATTATCACAGTTATAGATATTTATTTAAATTATATTTATATATTAAATATATTAAAATATTAAATTATATTTATATTTTATATATTAAATATATTAAAATATGAAATTATATTTATATATTAAATATATTAAAATATGAAATTATATTTAAATAAATATCTATAAATAATATAATAATAAAATAAACTAATAAAATAAACAAATAAATAATAAATAAATAATTAAAATAAACTAATAAAATAAACAAATAAATAAGAAATAAATAATAAATAAATAATACAATAATAAAAAAAACAAAGCAAATCGTATTTATTCTATTAATTCTATAATTTGAATTTGATCCGATCAAAATAGGATTTTAGAAAAGGATAGGATAGGATTATTTTTAGAAATAAGGAATAAAGAAATGATGGATAAATACAAGCGATCTTTTCGTAGGCGTTTGCCCCCGATCCAATCGGGGGATCGAATTGATTATAGAAACATGAGTTTAATTAGTCGATTTATTAGTGAACAAGGAAAAATCTTATCTAGGCGAGTAAATAGATTGACTTTAAAACAACAACGATTAATTACTATTGCTATAAAACAAGCTCGTATTTTATCTTCGTTACCCTTTATTAATAATGAGAAACGATTTGAAAGAAGGGAGTCGACCGCTAGAACTAGAACCAGAAATGAGAAACGATTTGAAAGAAGAGAGTCGACCGCTAGAACTACTGCTCTTAGAACCAGAAATAAATAGGCTTACCCTTCAATTGACTCAAAATTATCAAACGTAGACTGATGCTTTATTCAAAAAATCTGATAATCAAAATTGTCGTGTCGTAAGAAAAAAGAAATAAATAAAAGAATCGAATCGGGTTGGGGAAGAAAAATAAATTTTTTTTTTTTTATTGAGCGTCTTCGCTCATCTTGTTTTCTTGTTTTGATGACCTTATCAGAATTTTTTTATCATATTAATTTCTACTCTACCTCCCTCGAGTTCATTCTCGAGGGAACCCCATTTCATTTAAAGCATTTCGGTGGATTCCTTCCGATCTCCTTATTTTATAATCTCGTTGGAAATCATATAAAGACAATTCCTATTTGAGATAGCTATTTGTGCAAGTATTTTACGATTAAGAAGCAACTGTTTCTTGTACCGATTTTTTATTAATCTACTATAATTATAGGATACCCCCATTCCTCGAATTCCTGCATTTATTCGAGTGATCCACAAACGACGAAAATATCTTTTTTTCCTATCTCTATCCCGATCAGCCGAAACCAAAGCTCTTACTCTTTGTCTCCGAGCTATATATCCCTCTTTCATTCTGGTCATTGAATAAAAGAAATTTTGATGAATAACTAATTCTTTCTTTCAGTTATTCTTTTCTAGTCTATTAATAACAAAACGGATTCTTCCAATGTATAAAATAAAAATTCCAATGGCTTTTGCTACTATAACCGTCCCGCCCACGATTTTTCCTTTTTTCTAGGCATTTCATTTCGCCTTGAAATAAGAAATTGTATTGATACTAGGTATCAAAAAAAGCATATTAACTAAAATAAAGGAGTAAATAGAAATGGATAAATAAATAGTGGGTTCCATCGTTTCTATGGTTACTTCTTAAACGGTGAGGTCCCCTCTATACACCGGAGCTCATTCCTTCATTTAACATTTAATTGGTAACTTGTACAGTTCACACTCTTCGGCTCTACTCATAAATTTTTCAGTAATAGATCTTTCACAACGAGATCTATCTTATACAGTAACGGTATGTAATTAGGAGGATTAATTGGGTAGCTGACCCTGTTAGTCCGTTCTTTGCAAGAGTCGAAGCATAATCTTTTTGCTTTTTAAATAGGATTTTCCCCGCTTAATGGATAAGCATTTGCTACCAATGGGGAATTTTTAAAAAATTCCAAGATTGGATTTGCGCCAATGGAAACCATAAATTTCATACACAATAGAAGGATATGGTAGATCTATCTTTTTTAGATAGTGAACGGAAGAACCCCATTCTATTCACTGGTACTGATCGTTGATACTGAAAAATTGTTTCCTTTTTCTCAGCCCATGATCTGAACAAGTCGCACATACACCCTAGTACATCTTCCTCGGCGCTGAGGACATCCCCGAAGAGCAGGGGCTTTCGTGACATTTCTAATTGGCTGTCTTGCATTTCTAATAAGTTGTTTAATAGTTGGCATGCTGAATCATATACAATCATATACATAATAGACTGGTTTAGATCGATCCTAACCAGATGATTATGAATTACTTCTTTTTCTCTTTAATAGATTAATAAAATATTAATCTATTAAAGAGAAAAAGAAGGAAAGGAATAAGAGGGATTAAATCAATCTAAATCAAAATTAAATGGTGTTCCATTGTCGTCAAATGGTGGTCTTCCATTGCCATTGTCGTCAAATGGTGGTCTTCCATTGCCATTGTCGTCAAATGGTGGTCTTCCATTGCCATTGTCGTCAAATGGTGGTCTTCCATTGCCATTGTCGTCAAATGGTGGTCTTCCATTGCCATTGTCGTCAAATGGTGGTCTTCCATTGCCATTGTCGTCAAATGGTGGTCTTCCATTGCCATTGTCGTCAAATGGTGGTCTTCCATTGCCATTGTCGTCAAATGGTGGTCTTCCATTGCCATTGTCGTCAAATGGTGGTCTTCCATTGCCATTGTCGTCAAATGGTGGTCTTCCATTGCCATTGTCGTTAACTAGTCTCCATTTTTTATTCACTATAGGTTTGTTATTCACTATAGGTTTGTTATTCACTATAGGTTTGTTATTCACTATAGGTTTTTCATTCACTATAGGTTTTTCATTCACTATAGGTTTTTCATTCACTATAGGTTTTTCATTCACTATAGGTTTGTTATTCACTATAGGTTTTTCATTCACTATAGGTTTTTCATTCACTATAGGTTTTTCATTCACTATAGGTTTTTCATTCACTATAGGTCTCGATTCTGTACGCACTATATGATCCACAATTCCATGATCTTTGGCTTCTTTTGCTGACATAAAATTATCTCTTTCCATGTCTTTGTTTATAACCCATCGGGGCTGGCCCGTTCTTTGTACATAAGCCTCTATGATGTCTTCTTGCATTTTCATTACTTCGTCTGTTTCCATGACCCAGTCTTTGAAGCCATCATCCTTAAGCATACTAATAGGTTGATGGATCATTACCCTGATGATATAACATACTTCTAACTCACATAATGAGGCGAGAAGAATAGCTATAGAATTGAACAACCGTACAGGCATTTTTTGCGCATTGCATACGGCTTTACAATTGCATACGGCTTTACAATGGAATTCTCTTTTTTCTTTCATCGAAAAAAAGAGAAAATATAGAGTCTATTAGACCCAGATTAATAAATAATCCAATTACCATCCTTCTTTTTCTTTTTTTTTCGGAAAAGTTTAAAAATACTATGATGGCTCCGTTGCTTTATATATTTATTTCGTCTGTGATTCAGCAATCCCAAAGTTTCTTTTTTTTTTTTCAAAAAAAAAAAGAAAGAAAAAAAATAGTCTTTTTTTTTTCGTACTCTTTCATAACATAAATATTGTTAATAGCCTCTGGTAGGAAAAGAAAAAAAGTTTGTGACGCCTGAGATGGGCCCACGATAGCTAAGATCAAATTGGAAATGCCCCTTCTCTCATACTACTCTTTCGATACATAATCTAATATTTTTTTTTGAAAAAAAAAAAAAGAAATAAAAAAAAAATTTCATATCGAATTCAAAGTGCCATGCTATTATTACTTACTAATTCATATTTCATATGGCGAAGGCATAGTCTTCTTTTTTCTTTCCATCAATAATAAAAAAAAAAACTCATTGGCGCCGAGCGTGAGGGAATGCTCTGCGTTTGGTAATTTCTCCTCCGACCAAGAGAAAAGCTGCGATTGAAGCGGTCAATCCCATGGCTAGTGTAATGCACATCTGGTTCCACTGCTTGCATAGTATCAAAAAGAGATAATCCAGATACTATCCCTCCGCCAGGAGAGTTTATAAAAAAAACAGGTCTCGGCTATTACTCTCTATACTGAGATAGATCATAATACCCGCAAGTTGATTCGAGGTCTGGATATCAAGCTCTTTGCCCAAAAAAGCAATCTTTCTCGATAAAATTCGGTTGATTAGGATAAAATTGTATCCCTTAGTAGCCGTACAGGCACCTTTTGATGCATACGGTTCAACAAAAATTGCGAAAAAAAAATCAATGTGTAGATTCCAGCCATCCTTTGTTTTTTCTAGTCGGACCTTTCTAACTTCTAATTTCTAATGAAGGGGCTTTTTCTTACATTTTTTAAATAAAATGAAATTTAAAAATTAAATTAAAGAAAGATGAGTTTTGGCCCGTTTTCCTATAATATAGAAAAAATTCGCTAAACTTATTGCACAAACTTTTCATTGATCCATTTTTTTTCATTGCGATTCAATCCAAATCACGATGTCATTTTCTTGTTCCTGAATGGGGTTCGTCAATTTTTTATTCAATTTTTTTAGGTTTATGCTCTACTCCGAGTAAAGATCTGCCCGATTTTTATTTGCACATATAGGACAAATGACCCAATACCACGTCTTTTTGCTATGATTTCATTTCCTTTTTTTATTTTAATTTAATTCCTTTTTCTTTCATGTTTTTCGCCAAATATTCAACGTATTTCCCATATTATTCGATTGATTAACAGTTTGAAATCGCTCTTATTTATAATTAAAAAAAAAAAGAAAAATTATGATTATGATATAGGTGGTAATCATAAATATATTACCAATTGGGTTTTTTCTAAACGGAGCCTGGATACTTCATTTTATCAGTCCAACCAAGCCAACCATAAATCATTCTAATTGAAAATATTAATCTGGATACACCCCCATGAAATGGATCTCTAATTGCACTTCATTACACTTCCCGCTACAAATTTTTGATAATTCAATCAATCTTTTTGGGGCGAAACAGGGGATATCTCGATCGGGCGAGAGAACGGGGGAATCCCATATGACCCAATATATTTGACAAGTCGCACTATATGTCAACCCAGCTTGCATCGTTATCTCCCGGAACTTGAAAAGGAACTTTTGGAATACCAACAGGCATAAAGTAAAAAGAATGTAAAATTATATTTCGCTTTGATTGTGGAAGCGTAATACGTAATGTAATACGTAATAATGGTCTTATCTTAATAATATGTAATATTATATTTCACTTTGATTGTGGAAGCGTAATACGTAATGTAATACGTAATAATGGTCTTATCTTAATAATATGTAATATTATAATATGTAATATTATATTTCACTTTGATTGTGGAAGCGTAATACGTAATGTAATACGTAATAATGGTCTTATCTTAATAATATGTAATATTATAATATGTAATATTATATTTCACTTTGATTGTGGAAGCGTAATACGTAATGTAATACGTAATAATGGTCTTATCTTAATAATATGTAATAATGGTCTTAATAATATGGGCCTTTATCATATTTTATACATAGATAGACTAAGGCCATAAAATAAAGAAAGGCGGAATGAATGAAAGAGAATTCTTACGAATAGGTCCTTTGAATGATGAACAAATAGGGATGCATTCATTCATAAAAAATAGGATCAACCCCCATTGCGTATTGATACTTATCGAGTATAGAATAGATCTGCTTCTCTTTTTTCTTCTGAGCCGAATTCTTCCCTTATTACTAATGGAATAGAACAAACATTAATCCTTTCTCCGAAAGAATCCACCGAAAAGGGGAGGTATTCCAATGCAATAAAGTTACATAGTGTCTATTTTTCGTTGATTTGATAAAGGGGTATTTCCATGGGTTTGCCTTGGTATCGTGTTCATACTGTCGTATTGAATGATCCCGGTCGCTTGCTTTCTGTTCATATAATGCATACAGCTCTGGTTGCTGGTTGGGCCGGTTCAATGGCTCTATATGAATTAGCTGTTTTTGATCCCTCCGATCCCGTTCTTGATCCAATGTGGAGACAAGGTATGTTCGTTATACCCTTCATGACTCGTTTAGGAATAACCAATTCATGGGGCGGTTGGAGTATTACGGGGCGGACTATAACAAATCCGGGTATTTGGAGTTACGAAGGTGTGGCCGGAGCACATATTGTGTTTTCTGGCTTGTGCTTCTTGGCAGCTATCTGGCATTGGGTATATTGGGATCTAGAAATTTTTTGTGATGAGCGCACAGGAAAACCCTCTTTGGATTTGCCCAAGATTTTTGGAATTCATTTATTTCTCTCAGGAGTGGCTTGCTTTGGCTTTGGCGCATTTCATGTAACAGGATTGTATGGTCCTGGAATATGGGTGTCCGACCCTTATGGACTAACCGGAAAGGTACAACCTGTAAATCCAGCGTGGGGCGTGGAAGGTTTTGATCCTTTTGTTCCGGGAGGAATAGCCTCTCATCATATTGCAGCAGGGACATTGGGCATATTAGCGGGCTTATTCCATCTTAGTGTCCGTCCGCCCCAACGTTTATACAAAGGATTACGTATGGGAAATATTGAAACCGTCCTTTCCAGTAGTATAGCTGCTGTCTTTTTTGCAGCTTTTGTTGTTACTGGAACTATGTGGTATGGTTCAGCAACTACCCCCATCGAATTATTTGGTCCTACTCGTTATCAATGGGATCAAGGATACTTCCAGCAAGAAATATATCGAAGGGTTAGTGCTGGGTTAGCCGAAAATCAAAGTTTATCAGAAGCTTGGTCTAAAATTCCTGAAAAATTAGCTTTTTATGATTACATTGGCAATAATCCGGCAAAAGGAGGATTATTCAGAGCGGGTTCAATGGACAACGGGGATGGAATAGCCGTTGGGTGGTTAGGACACCCTATCTTTAGAGATAAAGAAGGGCGTGAACTTTTTGTACGTCGTATGCCTACTTTTTTTGAAACATTTCCGGTTGTTTTGGTAGACGGAGACGGAATTGTTAGAGCGGATGTTCCTTTTAGAAGGGCAGAATCGAAGTATAGTGTCGAACAAGTAGGTGTAACTGTTGAGTTCTATGGTGGCGAACTCAATGGAGTGAGTTATAGTGATCCTGCTACTGTGAAAAAATATGCTAGACGTGCTCAATTGGGTGAAATTTTTGAATTAGATCGTGCTACTTTGAAATCCGATGGTGTTTTTCGTAGCAGTCCAAGGGGTTGGTTTACTTTTGGGCATGCTTCGTTTGCTTTGCTTTTCTTCTTCGGACACATTTGGCATGGTGCTAGAACCCTGTTCAGAGATGTTTTTGCCGGTATTGATCCAGATTTGGATGCTCAAGTGGAATTTGGAGCATTCCAAAAACTTGGAGATCCAACTACAAGAAGACAAGTAGTCTGATGCAAGATTGCTTTGTTATTTTTCGCTTCTATTTTCTGTTTGTGATTTGACATAGGCTGCTGTAAAAATCTTGATTAAAATCGCTGCCTTTTCTTTGATTCTTGTTCTTTCGTTATTTTATTCGGGAGATGATTCTAAATAAATAGGTACGGAAGCTATAATTGTAAACCACGATCGAATTTATGGAAGCATTGGTTTATACATTCCTCTTAGTATCTACTCTAGGGATAATTTTTTTCGCTATCTTTTTTCGAGAACCGCCTAAAGTTCCAACTAAAAAAATGAAATGATTTTTCATTATCTCAATTGAAGTAATGAGCCTCCCAATATTATATTGGGAGGCTCATTACTTCAATTAGTCCCCGTGTTCCTCGAATGGATCCCTTAATTGTTGAGAGGGTTGCCCAAAGGCAGTATATAAGGCGTACCCAGTAAAACTTACAAGTAAACCAGATATAGAGATGGCGACTAAAGTTGCTGTTTCCATTATTATATAATTATATAAATAATATATATAAATATAAATATAAATATAAATAATATAAATATAAATATAATTTCAAGATCACAATGGATCTATGATAAGATCGTTTATTTACAGCGGAATGATATACAAAGTCAACAGATCTCACTGAATACAAAATAAGATTTATGGCTACACAAACCGTTGAGGGTAGTTCTAGATCTGGTCCAAGACGAACTGTTGTAGGGGATTTTTTGAAACCATTGAATTCGGAATATGGTAAAGTAGCTCCTGGATGGGGAACGACTCCTTTGATGGGTGTCGCAATGGCTTTATTTTCGATATTCTTATCTATTATTTTGGAGATTTATAATTCTTCCGTTTTACTGGATGGAATTTCGCTGAATTAGATTCACAAGAACCACGAAGCCTCGCTTTTCAATACAAAAAGTGAAACTTTTAGTTCTCGGATTTTTTTTAGCCCATTCTATTTTGGTAGTTCGACCGCGAAATTTTTTTTGTTTCTGTATTTCCGGAATATGAGTGTGTGACTTGTTATAATTGATCCTATTGATAGTACAGAAAATGGGTCTGTCCTCTTGATCGAGATAGTTTTATCCCGTCGGATAGCCATTCTAGTATCTGGAGCACGGAATATATGAAATGGATCACGAAGTATTCGAACTATGATTCATACTTAATATTCAAACCTCGCGGCCGGACTCAAAAAAAAAAAAAATTTTCAAAGAAAGAGGTTTTTTATTTATAAATCGAGAAATTTTTTCTTCTTTCAAACTCTCATTTAGTTTATGCTTATTTTGATCAAAGGACAAACCTTTCTTTTCTTTGTATTTTTATTTATTATATCTATTCTATTCATTGAATAAGTGATGATCCAATAATTCTTACTCAAAGAATCTTTGGACTTAGTTTGAAGGTTTTATTGAATCATCGCGGTTCTGGTATGAATCTGAAGTTTCAATTGATTCATAGGGTCTTAACAAGAGAATTCCTATTAAAAATAAAGAAAACAAGAATAAAGCCACATTCCATATAAATAACAAATCAAAGCAAAGAAAAAGAAAAGAAATAAGTAGGTAAATAGAAGATTCAAGAGGCCTGATCAACATAAAGACGAATGCGCCGACTTGATTTTTTGGCATTATAATTACAACTACAAAAAAGAGCTTTCGGATTTTTACTCTTTTGTGTCTTCAGATAAAATTGAATGAAAAGATTAAGAAGTTTCAAACTTTCTATTCCATATCCGTTTCAGCTATTATTTGGGTGTTTTTGTTTGAGCTGTACGAGATGAAATTCTCATATACGGTTCTCAGGGGGGGAGTCCTCTTGGTTTACCTATCTCAATAAAGTCTATGATTGGTTCGAAGAACGCCTCGAGATTCAGGCGATTGCAGATGATATAACTAGTAAATATGTTCCTCCTCATGTTAACATATTTTATTGTCTAGGAGGAATTACGCTTACTTGTTTTTTGGTACAAGTAGCTACAGGATTTGCTATGACTTTTTACTATCGTCCAACCGTTACTGAGGCTTTTACTTCTGTTCAATACATAATGACTGAAGCTAACTTTGGTTGGTTAATCCGATCAGTTCATCGATGGTCGGCAAGTATGATGGTCTTAATGATGATCCTGCACGTATTTCGTGTCTATCTCACTGGTGGTTTTAAAAAACCTCGCGAATTGACTTGGGTTACAGGCGTGGTTCTGGCTGTGTTGACTGCATCTTTTGGTGTAACAGGTTATTCCTTACCTTGGGACCAAATTGGTTATTGGGCAGTCAAAATCGTAACAGGCGTTCCGGAAGCTATTCCGGTAATAGGATCGCCTTTGGTAGAGTTATTGCGTGGAAGTGCTAGTGTGGGACAATCCACTTTGACCCGTTTTTATAGTTTACACACTTTTGTATTACCCCTTCTTACTGCTGTATTTATGTTAATGCATTTCCTAATGATACGTAAGCAAGGCATTTCTGGTCCTTTATAGAGAATATAGACCATAGCTATATTGTAACCAATCATTTATCTTATTACTTGCCAATCATTTATCTTATTACTTGGGGGAGGAACAATAGTATTTCATTGCTACAAATATGGATTGTTGAAAAAAAAAAAAAATAAGACATGTATTTGGATATTTCCTTTCAACTCCACAATATTCTATTATTTATTTGATATGACATGAATAGTTGAAGGGAATTCCCCGAAGAGAAAATGGATTATGGGAGTGTGTGACTTGAACTATTGATTGGGCCATGCAGA